ATTATTATTATTATTATTATTATTATTATTATTATTATTATTATTGATTATTATTAATTATTATTACTATTATTATCATTAATCATTAATTATTATCATTATTATCACTATTATTAATAATAATAATTATTATTGTTACTGTTATTTATATTTTTATGATCATATTATGAGCTATGGTCGTATGTGTTATTACTATTATACTGTTTTTATCATTATTAATTATTCTGTCTTTCCGTGGTTAGATGTTCGTTCTATTCGTACTATATTAAGAAATTTGTTCTTGCTTCTGTAAAATGGAAGTGTTACAGAGGAAAGATCCAGAACAGTTCATGCAAGTCCATGGCCGCAAATGCCAAATACACATGGATCCGGCAGTAGCACGTGCTGCCGAAGCATCAAGCATCCTGTGCGCGTTTAACATTAGTAATTTGCTCGTCTTTTGTATAAAGCATACTTCTCACCGTGGATTCAATCCGTTAAATATCTTTTTTGTCTTTTGATTTTTTCTGTTAAATTTTGCATAGGATTAAGTTCATATTTGGCATGTTTATTCGGTCTCACTAGCCAGTTTAACTTTCGTTCTGACTTAAAAAGGATTGATATCGAGATTTATTAGTTTTTGGCTAGAAGTTGTAGTTCTTCCATAAATACAGACTGTTTTTAGCCGTAGATGGTTGCAAGCTCTGAAATCATAGTTTTTTATTAGTGCGCTGTATTTTCTTGAAGTCGTATAGCGTTGATACTATATGTGTGTTAGAATGAGTCGTGACGAGTGGATGTGAAATTTATGCAGTCTAGAGTGTAATAACTTGAGGAAAGATGGATGACCAGGACTGAATGGAAAAGTAATAACAAGCGAGAAAAAGTACAGAACTGGGCAAGGTGGTTAGCTCTGCTAGAATACTATTGTTTTCATATCTCAAGTCTTTACATTTCACTCTTGATCAGTACTTTAGATCTTCTTGGTTCGGTGTTGACTACGGAGAACATAATGCTATACCCAAATTGGCCTTGAGGAACATGATGCCATACCCAAATTTTAAGGTGCAAAATTTGATCTGTGGTTTGCAGGAGGCGATGGCAAGGTGATCCAAACGTGCTGATTGATCGATTTGATGTTCGAGCACATATGGACTATATTCCGGAAACGAAATCAGATATTGAAAAGCGGTAGGTTCTGCTATTAGTTTTGCGTCGTTGATGGGAACTATAATTATATGAACTATCATTCAAAAAATTTGGAGGGTTGAAATTATCCCACCTAATTCTGTTTGCTTATTTTGGCTTGAAATTCGAATGAAGTTTCGAAACCCATCTGCCAGAGCATGAAAATGAAGCAAAAGCTATTCACGATAGTATTTACCTTTCTTCAACTTCCTCTATTATTAACTTGTTTTCTTTGCCATTTTTTTTTACTCCTCCTCAGTTATCTGTTTTACCGAAACTCTTGTTGGGATGTTATGATTCTTTTGCAACTGAAGTCGTATCGAAAAATCTGACTTTAAGCAACAAAAGGTTTCTATGTATGCCATGAATCAGTTATGAAAGAAATTCATTAAAAAATGAGAGGGAATTGGGAATTTTCGTTCTTTTTTTTCCGGGATATCTTACACAGAGTTAATTAATCGCAAGGAAAAAATAATGGATTGCAGGTCCGTGGTAGATGTTGAAGAATTGCAGTGCGAATATGAGAGGTATCGAATCCTTGTACTCAATGAATTTGATAGAGGTATGCATCAATTACTGTTATGTCCGAGTCGCCGGATTATCATACACCATCGAGTGCAATGCATCTTTCGATAATCATGAGATACGGCCTGCATTAGCCATTCACTCTTTATCAGATTTTTCGTGTACACGATTTCTCCGGTTAACTCTTCAACATCTGTTGAAACTCTCTGGATTGTGTCTCACTTCGCTTCAGTGTTATCGATTTTTTATATTTAGTTATACAGGTATTTTATAGCGAGAGTTCCGTTCGTTGGTGAATAAAAAAAAAATTACGAATGGGATTTATTTTGCAGTATCGGAGAAAACTTTCTTGAAAGAAATAGCAGCAAAGGAATTTTGGCCGGATGAATCCACTTCAACATCAGTCGCACGTGCTGAGCAAGAAAAGAAAAGATTGCTGTAAAATTTACGAGCTTTTAAAAGAAATTTTTTAAACTTTCGGAATCTCCGCGAATTCTTTTCGTATTTTTGCCTTTTTGCACAGACTGTTGATGAAACAGCTTCGACATTTACTAATGTTGCAGCTATATTGCATAAGGTTTGGTTGAATAAAGATAGAAACGCATGTTTCATCTTCCAGCAAACCATAGAACCATAGAGATTACAGCTCTTAAAGTTATTTCCAGGCGGGACAGAAAAGCTGCCGTGGCCTTCACATATGGTGATACGCAAACGGTGCAAGGTAAAAGTCTGGAAATGGATGATTCTGATGAAGAAGATGAAATTGTTGATTCTGATGAATTCGGTAAATGTTTCTGAGCTTCTTTGAATTCATTTTCAAAACTTCGTTTCCCTTGAAAAAGTTTTATTTGCTGCTATCACTGTTATCAATTATTACCTGGCGAAATAATGCCAAGGAGTTGTAGTATGCTAAGGCTTATTTCATTAAATGCATGACATAAAGTAGTATAAAGTTTTTAGGATGATAACGGGTAGTAAGTGACGAAAATCAAAACAATTCATTAGGTGCATTTATAAGAGAAACTAAACTTATAGTCAAGTTGCCTTTCATTCAATCGGATAATTTTCATTACAGATTTGAAATTGGATGTCGACACGTTGGATGCTGAACAACGACGCAATTTAAACAAACTGGGTATTCGCTATGGCATAAGTTCGGGTGCATTCTCGAGTTTGTTAAAAATGGATCGTCGTGAGCAGGATGAAACGCATCAGCTGAAAGAAATTGAAAAAGCCAAACTGGCACTCGCTGTCTGTAATTAATTTGTTAAAGTTTTTTTTCTTTTGAAATAGAATTTGAGCGGTCATTCCATGCAGTCCATTCACCTCATTAATGGTGATGGCCATCACATAAATTTGCGTTTTCCGGAAGAGATTGTTTCGTTGCCAGTAATCGAACATTCTGTTCAGTTCTGCTAGTAATAGCGAGGTTTGGTATGAATTACGAAAATAAATAACAATGAGAGGATAAGAAGATTCTAATTGTTTTGAAAGCAATCTTTTTGTTTTTGATCTTTTCTTATTTTCTCTCAGTCTATAATATTATTGTCCTTCCGTAAATCACATCAAAAGTATCTTATTATAATATCGCCTCTTAATTTTATGATAGCTATATGATCTAAATTGTTAACTTGAATTTAGTGTTATGAGGCTGGAATTTCAGGGCCGACAAGCGAAGGCCGAAAGAGCTGTTCTAAAAAAGAAACGCGCACTGATTGTCGGTAAGGGTTGTTTGAACGAGGAAGCCACGACCACTTTGCTATCATTCGTTACTAAAAGTCAGAAGGAACGCTTAGAAACGTTAGTTTTCCCGTCAATTTTTTTCTGGAAATATGGAATTAGTATTGAATTCAAATTATTATATAACTTGCAACACCGATCCAGTTTGTGTTTTTATTTTTATCCAAGGGTTATATAAACTGACAGTTCCTTATAATGATTATTCTTGATTGCATAATGAGAAATACTAGTGCGTAAATATTATGAAGTTGAGCAATCATGGTGGTCACGCTGTATTATTTTGTCAGATTTAACAAGACATTGTTCTTAACAAGGATTGTAAGAGGGGATTCAGCTATCCATCACTAAGAATATTTATATATAATTTTCGTCCAGAATACAAAGTGTAACAAAAGATATGTGATAGTGTAATTAGTCCAATTCTAATTACCAAATTTATCAGGTCGTCATCTTCATCGACGGAGGAGGATGAGGGAAGAACAGAATTCATAACAACCTTCGGTGGTGATGGTGCAGAAGATAAGGATGAAGAACGTGATGATGATGATGATGGTGGAGCAAAAATGCATGGTCCAGCATTGCCATCTGCAGAGTTCCGGCGTATCTTGTAACTTATTTTGTCTCTACCAACTTGAAATTTCGTCTTTTCGTCAATTAATACCAAATGGAAATCTCATCTTTTTTTTCCTAGTGCTCATATTGTTAAAGATGTCTATAATTTGTGCATATTTTAGTGAATTGAAAACACGTCGTTCGTCAAGTCCGGAGGATTTTGGGAATGTTTCAAGGGCTCGCGTGCGTAGTAGATCTCCCTGTCGGAAGCGATTTTTACGTTCCAGTCGTGAACGTACTCTAAGGTCAAGAAGCCGCGAAAGATTACGCCGTTCCAGAAGTCGAGAACGGCGCGACCGATCGAGGAGTTCAAGTATTGGAAAAAGAAGAAGACGTAGCAAAAGCAAAGAGAGATTACGTAGCCATAGCCGTGAAGATGATCGACGATCCGAGCATGGTCGTTCAGGAAGCAGAGATAAGAGACGTGAAGAAGTCAAGGTTAAACAAAGGTTAGTAATTTAAAAAATTACTAAGTGATCAATCTTTTTTAACTTCGTAGTATATCATTTTGAACAAGATATCCATACAAGTGTAAGGTTTTGCAGTTGAAAATACTATATGTGATCTATATGTGAAAATTAGAGCTTCCGAGATGATCTGAGTGATGTAAATTTTTGAATGGGATCGAGAACAACTTCCATCTTCCAAAAGTTAAAGCTTGTCATTTGATTAAGATTGTTTTAGTCGTAGGAAGAGCAGTGGTAGTGAAAGTGGTTGTAGTCGTTCACACAATCATTGTAATCGTAAAAGACGTGCTGAGGAAGGGAACGAGAGGTGCCTTTTATTGTTTTTAACTGCAAGTTGACTTATTTTGTTATTTTTGCCACTTCCTTGCATCAGTTTTCTCTTCTCTTGCTGGAATATGTTAAATTGAAGGTTTTAATTTGGTGCAGATTTTTAAATTTGAAAAATTAACTTCCTGGTTTTTTCAGTTCTAAGAGATTCAATGATAAGAAGCATCCAAGGCGTCGAAGAAAATATTCGTCATCAAGTAATACTAGCCGTACACCGCCACCACCATCACCATTAGAGAGAAAGGTTAGCATACAAAAAGCTTGGATCACGAGGTATTCTTTGTTGTTTGGATGATATGGTAAACAATGTAGTGATGTTCTTGAGAACCAATTTTAAGGAATGTCTTATTAAATGACCATTAGTGAACAAAAAAACACCTTAGTATGTTTCCAAACTACATGAAAGATAAATTTTCCGTGAAACATTGAATCTCGATGAGAATTCATAACCAAATTATATTTGTCAGATCGAGGTTGTATCAGATAATTAAAGTAGTCGGAGTGAGAAGAGGCAAGGAGAGAGAGAGAGACCTGTTGGAAGTGTCAAGATGCTGCCATAACCTCGGGCTAATTCAACCTATTCGTTTGCCTTGAGATGTGTTCACTCATCTCACTTATCTATTACAACACTTTTTCTGCAGTTTCTAGTCGTTTTCAACATTCATTTGTTTCGTTAATTTAAAATTGATTTCGTTTTTTAAATGTATTATTTTTACGGAAGAGTCATTTTTCTAGGGCACAGGTTCAGTTCTTTCACCAAGTCGGAGTAACGGCGACACTTCACCTCTAGAAATCCGTTCAAGTATGAGCGAGTCAGAGAAAGAACGTATAGAAGTGGAAAATAGGCGTCGACGAATACGTCGTACGGCTAAATTGCATAGGTATAAATATTCCTTATTTGATTTAGATCTCTTTCAGATATACCTCCACTTCACTTTCTTTGCAGAGGTCTTTAAATTTGCCTTGTTTTTTCTTGAACATTATCCAATGGTGCACATTCGCTACCTCCCACCTGATACGTGTGAAAAAATTGTGTTACTAGCTGAGTAGCATGTTATTCTTTACTACGTATGTTCGTGTCGCATCTTTTATTCTTTATTTAGCTGTTACATAGAAACTAATTCTGTTTCCTCTTTGCACAAACTTCGTTTTTTTCACATCTCTTCCAAAGATGTAAAAATTATAAATTATGGTGCTTGGAAGTGATCATCGATTTTCACAACGGAAAAGGATGCGATACTCTTCCGTTGATATTAGAACTTTCAGGCAACAGCATGGTAGTAATCATCATGATCGATCATCGGAAGATGAAGCTGAACGTGTAAGCCGTCTTATATAGTGGCTTCTTTTTTATTTTTTAAAGGATTCTTTGAAATTTATTGCACATAAATGAAAAAATGCTTTTAAGAAATATACGGTTCTGGAAGGTTTTGGACTTCTAAAATTTCAGAAGGCTGCCCTTGCCCATAAACTTCGTACGCAGATGCAACGAGTCTTACGTAAAACAGCAGAACAATTGAAGGAAGAAGAAAGACAAAAACATGAGGAACATGAAAAAGAAAGAAGGGTAAGAATTCTATATTTGTTTTTCTCTTTTTTTTGTTTTTTAGTTTATTGAGTTAAAGTTTTTCAGTTTGCTTCATTTTTCATTAGAATTTAATTTTCTCTTCGCAAATTTTTTTATCTTCAGTTGCGCGAGGAAAGATTATTTGAAGAATCGCTGGAAATCAGGAGACGGTAAGCTACTGTATAAGATTTTTAAGTTTATGGAATCTTCGAAAAACGTAGGTTTGAACATGTGTAGATTACTTTAAAAAAAACCTTGAAAATGCAGTATTGCTTTTAATTTTGCTGATATGTTTCTGAGTGTTTCTTCTAAACTGAAGAAAATTTCTTATATAATTCTTCATATCGTTGGATAATTTTGCGTATGGTAATTTTAATCATCCCAGGAAAAGTAATGAATGAACAACACTAATGAATGGAAACATCTGAATTTTGCTGCTGTATTTTAGAGAACGTGAAAAACGTCGACGTGAACGTCGTGGTCGTACTAGAAGCAGTTCTGCATCGTCAAACTAGTGTTCTGTTTTAGAAATAAGACCCATTCATAAAAACAGTTCTGCTTTTGTAAATTCGTCCTTCATTTTAATGAAGTTCTTCACAAGAATTGATTCATTGGCGCTGATTTAAGTTCATCATGCAAGTGAAGCTTTTGAGCCTCGACCTTAACAATCAGATTGCTTAGGATATTATCATCTATTTTTTCTACTGTTCATTTTTTTCACTCCTTTTCCTCTCGACTCTTTTTGGCTGGTTAGTTCCTTCGTTTGTTATTTTGCTGTAGAACTTCGTAGACTTTTTCAGATCGAGTCTGTAAGGTTCTCTCCTCTATATTGAATATCGGGATGTCTCTGGGCGTTTTGATAAGCGTTTTGGGAAATGAAAATTATAATGTTACAAGCATAATAGCAACTGATAAAGTACCGGAAGACGGAGGAAAGGCTGGGGTAGAGTGAAAATGTAGTACTGTTTGTCTCTGTCTATTGTTTTTACCAAATCATTACCCATTTTAGATTTATTTTAGCAATCAGTTTTCTTTTTTGAGATTCTATTTTTTTATTGCTCTGACGGCAAATGTTTTACTACAATGAAGGGTTTAATACTTTTGATGGTCTTGGTAGGGGTTTCTTTTTCGTATTTTTTCATGAAATTTTAAATAAATGTAAAGTGAAATTCAATCAAAGAGTTTGCTGAGCGCAAAGATTGGCGATCGCGTAAAGGTTACGCGTTCTGCTCTCCATCAATACTTTGACAATCAACGGACGATCGAAAATTTGATCCAAACGATTGATGATCTTAGCACATCTCGCGTCGTCATATGCTACTGATGTTGACCGTGTTACTGTCAATCTTGTTGATGTCGATGATAATGTTACAGCATTTCTTGAAATCTGTAATCACAGAAGATTATAATCACGACCATTTGGATGTAATTTCTCGTATAATCATGAGAAATATAGAAATAATTATTGAACGGTGTTAAATTTGGGCTTAATGAATATATTCCGTGCATTGAATAAGTGTTACGTTATGTCCATTTAAACATCCGTTACATTTTCTACTGCGGTCATACCTTACTATTAGCTCAGTCTGAATTACATCTCATCATGATTAGCGAGAATTTTTACCATTCGTGATTTTCGTTGTTTTCTTTGTTTTTTCTTCGTTTTGTTAGTCGGTGGAAGCTGTAATCACCAAGGAATTATTTAATTTATT